TACAATTCTAAATAAAAAAATAAATAACTATGAAATCCGTAACAATATGAATTAAGTAATAATTAATAATAAAACAAAGTGCATGCACATGCATGCACCAATATATCGTACAAAACTATGATTGGAAAACTGAGACCATGAGTTCGGCCACATTCGGCTATCGGGGGATGCGTACAAGTTCTGAGTGCACGTGTCCCCCAAAAGCCGAAGGTAGCTGAACGCAAGCTACTCACACGCATTTGTAATTTAAGTAGTGTGTGTGTGTGTGTGTGTCAGCTCGCTGTGAGTAATCTAACAACACTGAATAAATTATCGTTAATTACTTAGCAGTAAACATTTCATTTTTTTCTTCGTCGATATGTTATTTTATTATTATATATTATTATTTGCCGATATATTGGCCGGGCCGCAAAAATATTTGTTGTGGGCCGCGAGTTTGACATCCTTAGTATATACTATATATATATATATATATATATATAAAGAGAGAGAAGAACTGTGATATACGGTGTTTATTCTGGGGTTCTGCTGATGAGAGAAGAAAGATGATTGTTTGTGTAATATTATGATTGTGAAAGATGATTGTGAGTATATAATATTATATACAAATTAGTTAGGCAAAGAGAAATCTATGTATACTTTTGCAGTATACTAAAACATGCCCTATCCAATTCCGATAAATAATATTCAAAAGGCTTCCTTGTGACCTTAACACGATCCAAATCCTTCAGTAGGCGTGGTTAGAAAATAAGAATGGAGTTGCATATCAGCAGCGTTTTTGATGTATGAAGAGTGAAAAACGTAGTTTATGCAAAAATATATTCAGTTCTGAATAAAACAAAACCTTAAAGAATATTTTAATTCTAAATTAAACATTATGCGACACTTTAGTGTTATAAACATTAACCTAAGTAAGTATTTTTAAGCGAGAGGCGTGGTCAATAAAATGTTACAGAATCGCGCTTTTAATTTCCTACAAATTTGAAAGCATTAAGAGTCAGATTGGAAAATTAATATCATTATGTAAACAAGAAAAATTATTAATGATGTGAAAGTTGATTAAATGAAAAAACTTTACGGATAATTTTTGAAGATCCCATATTAAAATGTAATTAAGTGACCGTCATACTTAGCTAAAAAAATTCTTTTTCCTTTCGAAATTTGATTCATATACCCTGACGAGAAATTTCATCGCTTTTTCAATTTGGCCAATATACACCAAACAGCACGATACATATCAAACAATGCTAAATTGACACAATAATTAAAAGTACATATGAGATCTGCAAGAATTGAAAACTGAATTTTACTGATAGGCGAAAAAATAACTTAAATATTGAACTTATGGAGAAGTCGAGAAATTTTGTAAATGATAGTAAATTTAAATAATTATTGTGTACGTCGGCTTAGTGTCCTGTTGACTATATGACTTGACAGTTAAGTGTCCCGTAGCTAAATGTCCTGTCGGTTAGCTGTCCGTGTCGGCTAACTGTCCGTGTCGGCTAAGTGTCCGTGTTGGCTAAATGTCCTGTCGGCTAAATGTACTGTCGCCTAAGCGTCCATGTCGGCTAAGTGTGCATGTGGGCTAAGTGTCCGTGTCGGTTAAGTGTCCGCGACCGGGTTAATTCGGCTATATTCACGGGTGACAAAATTTCACTGGAAGCAGGTCAGCAAACTAAAATTAACCTTTTCATAACAATTTTAAGATTATTTGGTTATTTTACATAACTTTCATGAATAAAAATGTGAAATTCTGTCATTATCAAAATTAGACAAACAGATAAAAGCAACAGCAAAAAACACATACAAAATATGTAATGGAAATAGCATAATAAATATTCAGCTTTTATTAGAGTCAAATACCAAATATATACAATTGAAAATCATTTTAAAAAAAATTTTACTTAAAAATACATCATCAGAAACTGATTGAGTAATAATGCTGAACAGTGAAATATCTATGCAAGTATGAATCTTTATAAACAGGAGGAGTGAATGGGTATTTTCCTACATATAATGCGAATGCAAGCGTTTTGTTTGGATATTGCTTCACAAAAGGCTTACATTCTTAGGCAGACAGCCCTTGCATGCTTTGCCATGTTTGCAGTATATCTCAAATTTCCCCAAACAGAATACTGCTCAACCCAAAATTTTTAAAAAATTACATTAACATGTGGATCATCTTCAACAACACAATGAATTTTTAAAAAAGATGCTTAATCTTACAGATAGAATACTCTGCCATATGTAAATAAGAATTCGTCAGCCTTAAATTAAATATTATACTTATTTATGTAATTTTCTTCTTTTCTGAAAATTTTTTAAGTATTCACGTAATTTTCCTTTTCCTCAAGACATTCAAAAAGCAAGCTGCCCTAAAGTTTAAAAAAAAAAAAAAAAAAGAGAGATATCAAATGTTCTTGATGGTTCTGAAGATCATTGCACATTGAAGACAGACTGAAAGGTGATGAAGACAATGACAATGGTAACAATGTGAAAGCTGTTGCAGACAACACTCAGAGCAACAATAAATGATTTGACAGTGGTTAACAATAACAGCAGGTGAAAGGGAAATAGAAATGAAGGTATCTTATTAAATAGCATAATGTTAATATTATTACACATTCTTACCGGAATGAAAGTTTCTCTTAAATAAATAACATTGAGATAGTTACTGGTAGTTTATTCATGAATGTTCTTACTACAACCATGTCTTTCGAAAATTTAGTTATTCACATAATTTTCCCTTCTTGATCTTCATACAACAAAATTTAAAAAAAAAAAAAAAAAAAAAAAAAAAAAAGGGAAAATATGCAACTAAACACATTATACAATATACAGTCAAAAGTCATTAATCCGGACTCGTCGGGACTTCGGCGATTCCGGATTATAGATCATCACTTTAAATCGCGTAAGATGGCATGCAGAAATTCTAAAATTAAAAATATGAAACCGTAATTTATGAAATAAAGAACAATTATGATCTAAAGGGTATCAAAATTTACAAAAAAAAAAAAGGTTAATATTTATTTGTTTACTTTATTAAACATTTCTTTCAATATAAGTTGTTTAAGTTGCTTCGTTTTATGTGATAATACTTTCTCTTTAATTCTATAAACAGACATAATTTTTTGTTCAGTTACAAAGTTCAGTTTTTGTTCAAGTCCCGTTAATTGCTGTGCCGAGAATACCGACTAACTTGTCAATCGAAATTTTTTCGTTTTCACTAACCTCTCTGTCACATTCTTCATGTCTTTATCCATTTTTTGCAGCAATTCCACTTTTTGTTTGATGGACATCGAAACATACTTTCGTTTTGTACGATCCTTTGGGAGCTCCAGAATCAGAAATTCTATTTGACATAATCGAAAGTTCAAGTTTACTTTTATAGTATTGCTCTTACAGTCTGCATAAAATAATAAGCCGGATCCAATTCAAAAATTAAGGAACAACGCAATCATCAACATTAACTGAATTAGATAATTAGATAATTTTAGCGGCTAATCTTTGGAATACGGTAACAGGTAGTTTGGCGACATTTTGGTAAGGCGATAAAGGTTACTAGCTAGGACTTTAGCAGTATACATAGATAAAGTCAAGAGTGTGCGCAATGCCATTTTTGTGCAGTTCTGGGATGTTTTTTTAAGTTAAAGTACATCGACGTGTACATGGATGATACCGTGTATGTGCAATTCTTAAAAACGCGGCAAGCAGTGGGCAATTCTGCACTTTCTCCCAATTTCGCACCTAATCTTCGTCATAATTAAGCACTTTTGTTCCATAAGTTCTAGCATAAGCGTAATTCGGCTTGCAGATTGCTGAAGAAAAAAAAAAAAAAACCTTTACTTTGTGAAAACAAAATGGCGTCCAAACAAAAACTAGCAGGTTGCTGTAGCAGGGTTGGTCGCCAAAGGTTCGCCAAGTTACCATAAACCAAAGATTAACCATTTTAGCTTATACCGTCCGTTATACATAAAACACGCACGCGAAAACGTATTCTGCGCTTGCGAACACGCAAATGCGTAGTCGTAAGAGGTCTTACTCGCACGTGTAAACGCCTATGCGCATGTGTCAACACGGCGCATGCGCAGAAAGTTTTTAGCTTTGAGGTCCGGATTATAGATCATTCCGGTTTATGGGTGTCCGAATTAACGACTTTTGACTGTACAGTACTACTACCTTCTGTAAGGGATATCTATTTAAGTGTCAACTCTGTTGGTCCCCATCCCTTTGAACAGGGACTTCAGTGAATTTACCTCTTATTAGAGAACACTCAATCTAAAGGACACTGAAAAACTTCAAAAAATAAGATAGAGGTAAGGGAAATAAATAAGAATAAAAATACTCTTTGTTAGTAATCTTCTGAGGTTTCAAAGGCAAGTTTGTGTTCAGTGAATGATAGTTTTGCGACAAGGGAACAATAAAATGAAAAGTTAAATCCTCTCTTTTGACAAATGCTTTTCAGTATGGAAAAGGAGCACAATATAGAGAAATATCAAATTGAGAAGCAATCAAAAGGATGCACGTATTACTTAGTACAATGCAGAAAAAAAAAAAAAAAATAGCAAACAAAAAATAATAATAATAATAATAAATGTTTATTCATTGGTAAGCAATTAATGTTCTCTGTTTGTAACTAAATTGTGACAACATACAATTAGCCAACTCTCTTACACTAGGAGAGAAAGAAAAAATCTTTTGAATGTGCTAGTTGGCTGAATGTGATATATAATCTTCAGCATACACAGTCTTCTTATCAAGAAAATGGTCAAAGATAAACAAGACATGAAAGCATGTATTTCATTTTGAAATTGACTCTAAAATCAACGATTTATCTGAAAACTGCCACACATACCTACAGATTAAATGAAATTAATAAGGATTATTTTTTCAATTTTAAAATTTAATGGCATGCAACTGTGATGATGCCCCTGCATATATGAGTAACAAAAATATAATAAAAATATTTTAAAAAAAGGGAGGAGGAGCTTGATACTTACCTTGAATGACATCTAGGTCACCAACAATAAACTTCAAATCATTACTTTCCTCAAACAGTTCTCCATTCAAATAGTAACTGACGTGAACAGTAACTCTATCACCTCGACTTGGACGTGTTTCATGTCCCAATCCTTTTTTGATTACCTAAAATTTAAGATACCCAGACTTTTATTCTCCCTTAATATGATTTTTTTAAATCTTAAATATAGAATATGTAAACATAGGCTAGAAAAATATCTATTTAACAAAATTATACTTACAGAAATTCCTACATATATATTCAACAATCATTCACTTAACTTACTTTTTCACTAAGTAAATAACACACATTTGCAGACTTTAAATATTTTTTTTTCAATTAATAAAACCACAACGTAAGAAATAATAATCGCTCAACCTAAAAATCCATTTTTGAGAATGGGTAAATAATTGTGCCCATTCTCAAAAATATCAGTATAAGCACCTTCAGTTTTACTAGTGTAAAGTTTTGAAATTTATATAACAAATTAAAATGCACTTTATATAATATGATACAGATTTTTAAAATCAGCACACATTTATAAAATTTATTGCAACAAAATGTTTACACGTGTACAAAACACATTAATTAATGCGAGGAGTCATACATACATCAAATGACTTTATGACTGACCTTTTTCTTGAAATTACCGTTGCCCATAATATCCAGCCATTCATCTTCATCAGATTTGCTTTCGCAATCATTAGGAGTATCTAATTTAACTGAGGAATTAGAAACTAGGTCTTGATTTACCAAATTTTCCTGTTCGGAGCTCTGAGCAGCATCGGAAGTTTCTGAAATAGCAACACTTTCAGAAGAATTAGCATTTTCATGAATATCACTCGAAATGCCTATTGATTCAGTTAAATTTGCACCAATATTTTCCATATTTTTTTCCGCACTGAAATCATCGGCGTGCAGACCAGTTCCTAATTCCCGTAGGCTTTCTACCGCTGTCATTATCAACTACGAGAAATTTCGAAAAGTTGAGGAAAGTAAGTGTTCGGTGTTTTCAATTCAGTTCGCAGTGCGAGGAAACTTGAAACAGCGGGAAAAAAAAACGATTTTATATTATGCTCAAAGGGGCGTTTTTTTAACATTTTGTATGTTACCTTTATTTATTAAACACCGAAATTCTTCGTACTTAAACCACAAAATTCAATTTAAGAGCAACATCACCCTCGCGCATGAAATATCCATGCTTGAAGATGCACGCAATATATTAATGGAACGCTTTCAAATCGGTGATTTTGCTAGTAAAAAATTCGTTAAAATCTTACAAAATAGATTAAAAAAATAAATTCCAAATTTGGGCTGCCAGATGTTCGAGTGCACTTAATCGAATGGAGGACTATGTTATTCAGAATTTGGTGTTTCTAGGTGCCGTTGTTTTTTCCCAATGCGAGACACATGTATATATTCATGCAGATTCTTCATTATTTGAATTTTTTTTTAAATATGATGCAGAGCTCCAATATTGATTGCAACAATTTGAAAAGTGATTCAGACTTATATAGGTAACCAACGCAAAATGCCACAACGAAATTAATAATCTTTTTGAACTAACGCTCCTGTGGGCTAAATCTTAAAAAAAAAAAAGTGAAATCTCATGTTGGCTTCAGATTGGAGTTCAATAACTGATTCCCCTCTCCCATCTAAAACAAAAGTAAGAGTTTGATTTACGACTCAGAAACCATCAATAGGAGGTGATCGAAGTCAATCTGCACATTTAAATAGATAACAGCAGCATGTTTCCATCCTAGTTATATGAGAATTTTAATCTGAAATAATATTTTCACTTGCAAACACATAATGTTTCAATATTTAAGTTTTGAGCAGAAAACTGTAAAACAGTACACATCCAGAAGTAAGTATTAAGAGTAGCTAGTTATTTAATATATATGTAGATCATATGAGTGCAAATGTCATTAACTAATACATATATAAAACCACATTCAAAGGTAACTGAAGTGTCTGGTATGCAAATGTAAGAAAATAACACTTCTCTGACTCCAATGGAACCAATATTTTATTCCTTACAAAGTTATAGATTCTTATTCATAAGATTTATTTACATTTTACATGCACGTAGAATCGCGTGACAGAAACCCGAAATTTGTTTGCATCGCGTGACAGTACTTCGTTCTTCGCGGACACTAAAAGGTGTTGCCATTCCGCTTTAACTAAATTTAATTAGAAACTTGATGGAACTGAAGCGACACTACACACCCCCTTCCTAGTGACAGCGATTATGCAAGATAGTCTTTAAAGTGACTGGGAAACCTCACATGTCTGCCGGTTCTAGTAGTCTTGGAGCCCTAGTCTGCACACCTTCGAGGTAGAAGAACGGGTCGTTTTTTGCGATCTACTCGACAGAGAGCGAGTCTGGTGTCATCGTCTCGATCATTACAGAGATCGACGCGTCGGAAATTTTTCCGTCAGCTGGACAGCTGCCGTTTAACTGTCGTTTTAGAGCTAAACTGAGCACGGCGGAGGTCACGGATTGTTTTTGAAAGTGTACGTAATAGATATTTTAATTTCTTAAGATTTGTGAAAAACTTTTGAGTATTTCGCTATAGAAATAACGCATTTGATGCTGACGATTCTACATTATTTATTTATTCTACATTACCAATGCCTTAATTAAATTTTAGTAAAGAACAATATATTTGGTGTTTTCCTATTTCACATATAAAGAAGGGGTGCATACTTTTAATTTAAAATTGTAATTTTTAAACTAATGTATATATCAATGTACTTAATTTCATGTTTTGATGAGTAATTTATAAATTTTGAAATTTTATGTTTTAAATTATAATGTATTTGCCTCTTCTTTTATTTGAATTTGTAGTGTATAAAAATGTAATACATTAGACCATTAAAGAATATGCAGTATATAATTCAAACTATGCACATCCTAAATTCAACATTTACATTAAATTGCTTTGAGTTAAAAAATTTATTTAAGTAGTTTTAACTGTATCGATATCAATGTCAATTTCCAATAATTTCTAGAATCTCCTGTATAAAACAAGTTAAATTCCTGTATAATTTTCGGTTAAATTCTTGCCAATATTATAATGCAAAATTTAAAATTAGTTATCAGATTTTTTAATGTGGTCTACTTTTAGATATTACATCAGTTTTGTGTATATTTATTCAGATCTAAAAAGTGCTTAGTTTTGGTTTTATGTAATTACGGTAAAGCCTCGAGGGACTTCGTGGAGGATATTGTAAGGAAAACCAGCTCGTAGACACGTAACACATGTGGAAAACCAAGAAAACGTCCATGCAACCAGCCCGTTCGCGGGATTCCAACCTTGGACCGAACTTCTAGTGTTCAGCGATTTTACCGGCCGCTGGTGGGATCGATTTAAAAAGGGTATAAATATATATGTACTGCAATTTCTTTCACTGAATCTGTTAATATATTTATACAGTTATACATACATACATACCTATATATATATATATATATTTAAAACAGATTTTCTGTGCCCTAATCTTCTATGCTTCTGGAAGTTACCAATGACATATCTGTCATTACCAATGATATATTGGTAATGACACCCATGCGTCCAGCCCGTTCGCGGGATTCGAACCTCGGACCACACTACCATTGTTCAGAGATTTTACTGCTCGGCCACTAGTGGGATCGACTTAAAAAGGTCATAAATAGGAATATGTACTAGAATTTCCTTTCACTGCATATATTAATATATTTATAATACATTTATATAATTATTTATTTAAAACAGGTTTTGTATGCCTTAATTTTTTATGCTTTTGGAAATTACTAGAAATATGTTGGTAATGACAGATATATTGGTTACCAGAGATATGTTGGTAGTACAACAAACCATTCGCAGTATTTGGACCTCGGACTGAACTACCAGTGTTCAGCAATTTTACCACACGGTCACTAGTGGGATCGATTTAAAAAGGGTATAAATAGGAATATGTATTGCAATTTCCTTTCACTGCATATGTTAATATATATATGTGTGTGTGTGTGTGTGTGTGTGCAAGATAGTATGTTTTATGATTTAACCTATAGTTATTTAATTTTTTTTTATTTTTCTTCCCATTACTTTTGTTAAAATTTGTTATATTTTTACTCACTGCTTATTGGTATCTACGATTACATAGTTAATGTGTAGCTACGTGATAGGTATAATTCCTGAATAAATAAAATTATTGATACAATCATGGGTTGCTAAAAATTAAAATTTTCTTTTATTCAAATTCATTAGGTGCTATATTTCAATGATTTGACTTATGATGTTGTTGCATAACCTTTTCAGACAAAATAATGTATTTTAATCATAAAATTCCTGTTAACAAATAGTTTACAAGCATGTAACCTTTTAGAAAATTTCTATTTTGCAAACGATCATACGCAAAATTATATTTCCGTTTCTTCACATACCTGAAGTTTTGAAAAGGCCATTTCTTTCTGCATTTAAAATATCCATTTACGTTCCCCATATCTTTTTTCCATACTCTTTACTAAATCCAGCAGCGTATTTTTTTGAAAAATTTCACCATTTACTCAAACTCGAATTTTTTTTCTACCGCCATCCTCAGTAATAAGCACGTGCGAAACAACCCCTTTGACAACAAACTACCCCCTTCCCCTGAGCCTGGAGCAATGTAGAGGTGAGATAGACTGGTTGCTATGCAATAAACGTCACTTCCGCACGGAATGTCCACTTCACTTTCCGCCGACGGAATTTGAAGGGGCCAGACTTGCTCTCCATTCTGCTGTCGAGTGGAAAGAGAATCCCGACTGGTTTTCCGATATCGATCTCGACCGGTGTCCAGACTAGACCCCTTGGTTTTATGATGAGTTTCTGAATATTCTTCAGTGTTCTTGAGTGCAGGTGTTTCCCCAAGTTCCGCTTTCTTGGAGTGGGAGTTTTTGAAAAGGAATATCAGAATCTTGCACTAGGAAACATGGCTTTAGTCTGTCTATTGAAACTCTTTTAACTTTTCCTTGGATTTCAATATCGAAGTACTTATCCTTTCTTGCTCTTACAGGATACGGTCCAAGATAGACAGGCTGTAGCGACGAATTATTAATGTTGTTGTATAGGAATACGTGAGAACAATTGGAAAGATGTTTAGAAACAAAGACTGTTCTATTTCCATGGGTGGTGGTAGAACTTGGCTTCATAGCTCTTATTATTTTCTGAAGGTTTTGAGAAAATTCAGACTGTTTGATATGAGGGACTGTTGAAAAGAATTCACCAGGTAATGCTAAAGAGGTTCCGTATACAAGTTCTGCGGATGAGGAACCTAAGTCTTCCTTGATGGCAGATCTTATGCCTAAAAGAACGAAAGGCAATGCTTCCAGCCATGATTTTGATTCGAGTAGATGACATTTGAGACTTGCTTTTAAAGTTCGGTGTTGTCTTTCGATCAGGCCATTGGCCTGTGGATGGTACGCAGTTGTAGTGTTTGTATGAAAACCCAAGATATTTTCCTAAAGCTTGAAAAAGTTGGCTATCAAATTGCCGACCTTGGTCAGATGTTATGCGATTCGAAATTCCAAAGGGTGAAAACCAAGTATAAATCAAAGCTTTAGCAATAGATTCTGCTGATTGATCTTCTAACGGTACCGCTTCGATCCATCGTGTATAACGATCGATGATGGTTCGAAGGTATTTGAATCCTTTGCAAGGAGGTAGCGGACCCACCAGATCTATGTTTAAATGCTGGAATCTGTGTGGAGGTACTTTGAATTCTCCCAAAGATGACTGTGTATGTCTGTGAACTTTAGATCTTTGGCAAGATAAACATGATCTAGTCCATAGTTGGCAGTCTTTATTCATATTGGGCCATATGAAATGTCGTGTTATCAATTTTATCATGGATCTTATTCCAGGATGAGATAAATTATGGATTGAAGAAAATATTTTCTGTCGAAACTTTGCAGGGATGTATGGTCGATTATAATTTGTAGAAGTATCACAGTAAATTTCCTTGTCGCTGTCCGGTATAGGGATCTGCAGGATTTTTAAGTTTGGGTTGTTTTTTAGTATCTCCAAGTCGTCATCTTCTTGACAGTATACTATAACTTG